AGCTAACTCTCTTTGACCAATTGAATCTTATTTAAAATATTTAAAAATAAATTTCTCAACCAATTCCTACTTAATCTAGCATCTAAATCCGATTCGACTACTGATGGCGCGCTTTCTGCGCTGCGGCGGTTCACTTGCTTCCTTCATCCATACCCACTCACTTGCAATGGACGTCGTCACCATCCCAGCCTTAAGCGATAACTATATGTATCTACTTATAGACAAGGGATCAAAGGTCGGTATTAAAGTATTTTGTGATGGGTTGTAGCGCCTCTAAATTATTTTACATATCAAGAAGGACCAAATTCCCTTAATGCAATTTCCGAATCCTGGTTTTTGTCTCTTGAGTGCAACCTATTAATCTTGATAAAAATTTTACCAAAACATGGCTCTAACTATACATGAATTAATCTATCGCTTACAGAAATGCGCTGCAATCGATCCCGTCAACCCGTCTTCGATACTTGAAAAGGTGAAGTCACTTGGTCTTGAATTAACGATGGCTCTGACTACACATCACCATCAAGACCATGCTGGTGGAAACGAAGAGCTAGCTAGGCTGTGGTCAGCGACTTATGAGATCCCCAAGGAGAAATTTCCCATATATGGTGGTGATAGAAGAGTACAGGCTTGCAATAAAATGGTTACACACGATAGTACAATCGAGATCGGGGATGGACTCCTAGTAAAGTGCTTATTCACACCATGTCACACCAGCGGGCATATATGCTACCATGTAACCGAGATAGGTGGCGATGCTCGGAACGCCGTATTCACAGGAGATACTCTGTTCCTTGGCGGTTGTGGCAGATTTTTTGAAGGAAATGCCTCACAAATGTAACTATTTTATTTTCTCGTATCATAAACCATATCTTTGTTAATCTCACCATATTAACACTAGGTACAATGCCCTGGTTAAAACTCTCGGACGCTTGCCTCCATCCACTTCCGTATATTGTGGTCATGAGTACACACTCAAGAATCTGCAGTTTGCTTTGACTATTGAACCTAATAATGAAGCCATCCGATGCCGCCTGGAAGAGGTTATAAAAAAATGCAATAAAGGACAAGCAACGGTACCCGGAAATCTCTTTGAAGAGATGGAAACAAATCCCTTTATGCGAGTGGATCGTCAAGAGGTACTCGAGCATTGTTGCACTACTGATCCCATTAAAGCCATGGAGATTCTGAGGGAAAAAAAAGATCGATTCTAGCTGTGATTTTGAATGTTCTTTACCGCATATTAACTAGACTATTTACAAGCACATGGCTTCTCTCCTTAGGCATATAAACTATTTATGACAATAGATTCGGGTAAATTATCCAGATTAGCTTCCTTCAATTATAAATCTGTGGTTATTTGGTCCTGCGCGCTGACTTTCGAATTTTTTTTCAAGTATCAGTTTATGTTCCACATCTAGAAACCGGCAGATTGGTGTAAAATAAATTCTTTATTTATTTATGGCACTGACAACCATAGAGGCGGAAAACGAACGGGCAGACTAATTCATTTGACTATATGCTCCCATAATTTCGATATTGAAAATGAAAGGCGGGGTATTAAAAAGATAAAAGCATACAAATATGTAAATTATTGAGGTATGCTCATTTGCATGGCACCGGCATCGAGCCGCTAATTCGTAGTTATAAGGAAATGCGCTCTGGAAGTAACAGAATGGATGCATGGACAATGGGCTTCTCAGAGAAGCATGAAAAAATGAATTGCAAATCAAGAAAATGCACAATAAGGTATAGGATGAAAATGAATAACCTGAAATTCAAATGAGGATTAATTGTGTTTGCTAGGTGGAAAAGGGTCCTGCACGCTGTGCCATTGCGGTGCAGTGGAGGAAATTTTGCTCTGTGATCGGTAAGTTTGCTATGATCACAAGGGCACAGCTTACTGTATTTTGGTAAATAGCTTCAGGGTTTCACTCACTCCAAGCTTCGATGCAAGCCCATACGCCCCAGGGATCATGGGAGGCGATGTCGGGAAATGTGACGTAGCTGATGCTGACCACTCGTGATATCCGCCAGTAAGTTGCCAAGTGACCTATGGTCAGCAGGGATGGAGCTGTCTGAATGGGCATGGAGACGTTCCAGAAGAGTCTTTCTAGATTCAGATTTCCTGATTTCATCGACAGGGAGGTTTGAAGGCGACTTTAAAATGTGGGCACACCAGAGTGGAATAGTT